TGCGTACTGTTGCCATTATCAAATGAATGATGTTGGAGTTATACCATGCAATGTTAAAGGTATGTTTCAGATTTCTTTTGCTCTTCAATAATTTTGTGGGGAAAAACATAGAAAATTTATTTGGAAACAATAATTCATTGGTGACAAAATTAATTTCAGATCTCACTTTGTGATTCGACATCATATTATGTGAGTCTCTCGTACGTTGTTATTCCGAATTTCATAATCAATTATATCTAAAATGGAACATATTCGAAACCGGATCTGTTCTAATTAAGTCAGTAGGAGAACATATTCGAGAAAATGAAACTTAAAATTAAAGAAAGAAAACTCAAGCAACATATCAAAAACTGTAGTTAAGATAGAGGATCCACTTCCAAAATATCTTACACATGATGACAGACACGAATCAATAAACTTATTATATTAGATTGTGCATCATAAAAAAGTATCATTTTATTAATGAACAAAACTTATCGAATGTTCAGATGGTCTTTATTATAACTCCTGTTTAATAAAAATTAAATTATTAATATAAACTGTCTGTTTATTCAAATAGATAATGCATTATGTTAACATTTAGAATATTAGCACCATATATATTATATTTTATATTAATAAAATTATATATTGCTGTAACTGAAGTTAATAAAATATTAAATTATAATTAATAAATGATGATTCTTTTTGTAGTGGTAATTGTTTTCCTGTCTGTGAAGATAGATATTTGATACAATAGAGGTATCTATCTGTTCTCATTTGAGCAAAAAATGCAAGTCTTTAGAAATATTTTAACCATACATTTTCTTTTCCTTTTTCTGTCTTACTATTCATTTACTTTACACTTCATTTTAATTTGTAAATATGAATGCTTGGCCACGGCTAAGATGTTTAGAAAATAAACCAACAAGAAAAGAGATCATAGCACAATTCCTACCCAGATAATGCAGGATAAATGGACAAATGATCTAGTGATTGTGCTGCAATATAAAATTTATACGATGCTTTCTGACATTGTCTGATTCTCACAGTACAATAATATCTTACTTCAGGGAAATGCTCGATAGTTGAATTTATTGGTGATTAAGATAACTCGGCCAATTATCAATTTTTGAGTTCTAGAATACCTATATATATGATGTTTGGCAAAGTTTACTTAAATTTTGGTAAAATAATTCACTAATTAAAGTTGACTTAAGATTATAAATAAGAAAACATAGTTAGGTAAAATCCTTTAAAAGGAAAAAGAAAGAGTGCGATAAATAATGTTAAATAGAAAGGAGAAAAAGGACACAGAGAGGTCTGAAAGACGAAGCAGTGTGAGAGAAGTACATAGCCAACAGACCAATGAGACAAATAGTACGCCGCACAATCTTTAATCAGTGAGTTTTGCCACCCAATTGGTACAATAATTCATACCACACAAGTAATCCAGGGCCTCTGCTTCTGTCCCTACAATAATTATATTTACGTTTATTTTTCATCTTTTTTCAATTTTCTTGTAAAATAGTAAAATATTTAAAAAGGTGGGACAAAAATTACGTGTAATCATAAAATAAAAATGTGTAAATTTTTAAATTTTAGGTGATCGATATGGCTTGTATATGCACGTACTATATGTAGTATTAATTAATATAAGTTTGTACAAAAAATAAATAAATGGACATGAAAGAAAAATTGTAAAAAATAAATCAAATATTTAAATAATGCTTTTATGCTTCAAAAGTTTATATTAGATTTTTTAATTATAAAAAATTAGAATTAAGACCCTCTGTTTAGAAACTCCATTATACTGCTCTAATGGTAGCTCCGATTAAAAATAAATCAAATTAAATTTTTATAAGAATTTTAAAACTTCATAATTTGGCCCTTAATAATAGTTTTAAAAAGATTAATATGTTATGTAATAAACTCTCTTTTTATGTGTGGGTGTGAAATAATCTTCATGTAAAATTTTCTCATATAATAAAATATCTATGAAAAACTAATAAAAATATTTTTATTATAATTTCATTTTTTTAATTATTGTTCTAAATGGTTGCAAATATTTTATTTGAATGATTTGCATAAATTATAAAACATATCTTTTTACATATTTTTATTTAGTGAATAAAAAGGTGTTGCTGATGATCTATCAAATTTATAACTATATTACTTTTTTAAAAAAAAGAAAGTCAAGATATCTCTTGATCAGTTAGTGAGAGTCTAATATTTCAAAATAGGTCAGATACCAAAATAGGAATTTCTTCCAACAATGTTTTTCTCCTTACGTAACATTCGAATTATTTTAAAAATGAATCGATTAAACTTACATTTTTTTTAGTTTTAGAATTCACAATATATATCACCATATCTTTAGTATCTTCGGTGGGTCCGAAATTTATTTTCTTGTACAAATAATTGTCAGCATAAGAACATGAATGTATATATTTTTTAATTTCTTGTTAACATGTTTGCTTACCAAAAAAAATATGTGGGGTGTTTTTCTTTGCAAAACGTAATCAACTGTTCTATTTGTTTAGTTCATACACTGCCATGATTTGAAAAGAACTGTTGCTAAAGCTTTATTCATTTAATTAGCTGGATATGTGTCTCTTTAATTAAAGATTAAGGATAATATTCACCCCGACTAATGGAACAAGTTTGAAGTAACTTTGCTTGAGATCTGATGTGCTTTCTAAAATTCCATCAGTACTAATTTTAATGATAATGTTTATTTTAGTTATTCATCGCGATCAATTATGTTTATGTGAATTTTTATTGTTTAATTTAAATTAAATTTTAAATAGTAATAATAATAATTATAAATTTAACTGATAAACTAATAAAACAATAAAATTATTATAATATTAATATTGATGATGAAAAAAAAGAATTAAAAGTAAAATACATGAATCCATGAAAAAAATACAAAATTATTCACAATATAAAACATATAAGTCAAATATTTTAATTTAATTAAACAAGAATAATAATAAACTGAAGTCAGCAATACAAATCATACCAGTCAAAAATTAAATTTTTAAAAATCTAATTAATTAAAAAGTTTCTTTTAATTATTTTTAATTTTTTTTGTCTTACTCAACCTTTTATCAAACTAAAAATCAAATTTTAATAAAAAAAATATAATAAATATATCATTTAAAAATAGGGGAATTTGAGCAGTACAGTCTTCACACTACAATCTTATTTTTATAAACATTTGTAAATAATTACTATAACTAACTAAACCTAAATCTATTTAATGAACAAATTCTAATTTATGATAAATAATTTGTTGGATTCCCATTAAGTATGAGTAAATATTATATCGTGCACATAATGTAAAACTTAGATGGGTAAGAGTTTGGGCAGATAAAATTATCCAAAGATCGCATATTTATTGAAGATATAGTAATCGAAATGAATGTTGTTGAAAATAGATAGATGGCAAAGTTTCAGTGCATTTATGTAAATACGACTCTCTACTAAGAAGAGGTCCAAAACGAAACGTCAACCACGAGCAACTCATTTACTTTTCTTTTTCTTTTGGAAAATTTCTTATTTTTATGTTAATTAGTGGTTCTCCTTCAAAGGGATAATTCATGAGATGTTGAAAGTCTAAGTCTATGGTTCATTTACTGCAAACTATAATTTTAAGAATCCTTAACCTTTTTTCCTGCTTCCAAAACTGAAAAAGTCTTTAGATGTCTCTTTTACGGTTGGTTATACATCACAAAGATTATGTTTTAGACTAAAAATTTACGTTTCAAATGAAAAGAAAAATCAAATTCTTTATGATGATTAGTGAGTGATATCAACATGTCATAATTTTCAGGCACGTGCAATATTAAATTGTTCTCTTAATCTCTGCATTTTGCCAGCTTCCAAGAGTGACTAATTCTTTGTAGATATGTATATATGCTTAAAACTGACTAATTCTTTAGTTGTCTTGTTCTTTTTTTCTCATTATCCATAATCAAATCAACACGTCTTATCTCTATCAGACTCTGAGTTTGTTTCAAAGATGCTATCTTTAATAATCTTTTTTAATATAACTTATCAAAATAAGCTATTTTTTTGCTTATTCTAATAAATTAATTTTTTCTAAAGGGCGTATTAAATTGAGATTATTTTTATTTGTTTTTAATTAGGTTAATTGTGATTTATGGTAACGTTTAATGGTTTTAATTATTTTTATATTTATTATATATTTTAAATTTATGTATTAATTTGAGACTTAATTAATTTTGTAATCAATAAAATTTTGCTTATTTACTAATAAAAAAATTAAAGTTGTCTCCCTAAAAAAATATTGGATCGCTGAATATTCATTGAGATTGGTTCAGTTTGATTTTATTTTGTTATTTTTCTTAAATTGATTTAAATCAGATCATAAATTTTATTTATAACTAATTTAGATAATTTTTTACCTGAAAAATCAATATAAGTCAATAACTGGTATATTTATATTTAGAATATTTTTGAGTGATGAAATTAGTACCTCTACTCTTATTTATAGAAATAAATACTTAATTCATCAAAATCAATAAATAATAGTTATATATTATTAATTCATACTATATTAAAAAAATATTCATATTAATAAATGATCAAATTGGTATAGTATAATTAAATAATTGGATATAAGCTTTTATTAAGAGAATATTAATAATTATTTTATATAAATAAGACATAAAGTAGCATTGTAATACAAAGTTTTCACTTCAAATGGTAAGGTGTAGTATATATTAAATGGAGGTAGTAGGTATGAATATCCTTAACAATATCATAGGAAACTGGGAGCAAAAGTCAACAAAATATCAACTATATATATATCCATCGATATGACCGGTCAACTTGTAATAATCCATGGAAACTTTTGCATCACATCAATGTCGAAGAATTTTCATTTTCATTATAATTTCCAACCCTACAATAAATCTCATATCAAAATGTCAATACATTAGAAATTTTTAGAGTTTAAGTGTCGCTTACAACTTATAATGCGTGTAGATGATTTATCTACCTGATGTGTCTGAAATTGTTATCTCATTGACGGAAGAGCTTTTATTTTGCTCTAGTTCCTTCATATTTGTAATGGTATAAAATGATGGTTGTATGGGTTGTGGTAATTGAATGATTTCATTTGAAAGAAAAGAAATGACCTCAAGCATAGTTGGCCTATCCCTTGGTCGATCTTGAGTGCATAACAGACCTACATGTATGCATCGTAATACTTGGATCTGAAGGCATGACCCATTTATCGTTGAGTCGATTAGCTTGAGAGCTTCTCCATGGTTCCATAATTGCCAAGCCTGAAACAAATAAATGCATTATCGTATTTTTTTAAGTAGATCAATTAATTTATTTTCATACACATTGCGTGATTGGACGTAACTTACATATCCAAGAAGATTGAGCGGGTAATTACAATTATTTTTCTTTCCACTCACAATCTCTAGAAGCAAGATGCCGAAACTATATACATCAGTTTTGGTTGAGATGACACCTCTCATAGCATATTCGGGAGACATATATCCACTGAAAGTAAAAATTTAAATGCTTGATAACAAAGAGATATATATAAACAAATTTATCGTATGGATAGATACTTACAATGTCCCAACAACTCTATTAGTTTTTTCTTCAGATTCTGACAATCCAAATATCCTAGCCATCCCAAAATCGGATATTTTTGGATTCAATTCATTGTCCAGTAAAATATTGCTGGCTTTTAAGTCCCTGTGTATCACTTTTAATCGCGAATATTGATGTAAATACACAAGTCCCTGTGTAACTCCTTCAATAATTTTGTACCGTGTGTTCCATTCTAACACATTTCTTTTGTTGGAGTCTAATTTGAAGAAAAAATTGATACAAATTAATTGAAAACTAGAATACATATTCTCAAATATAAGTGAAATGTGAGCAAAAGACATAAACATACTAGCCAAGAAAGATTTCATACCGAAGAGGTATAAATTCAAGCTTCTGTTGGACATGAATTCATAAACTAATATTCTTTCTTCTCTGTCAGTGCAACAACCTAGCAGTCTCACTAGATTAGTGTGTTGGAGTTTCACAACTAACATAGCTTCATTTTTGAACTCTATCAAACCTTGTCCTGAGCTTTTGGAAAGTCTCTTTATAGCTATTTCTTGACCATTTGACAACTTTCCCTGAAGAGAAAAACACTTTTGAGTATTTCGCCATATTTCGCAAATCTTTTATATAAGTTGTGAGTGTATGAGTTTAATATATATATATTTATTATATTGTTGTCAACAGCCAAAACGATGACTGGAGTCTAAATAGTAATTTTCTTTTTCTACACGCATTCGTATTTTATATATACACACATGAGGATCCAAAACTTTTTGATAAATTAAATTCAAGTAAAATTAGTAGCAAGAAATTAAATTTTATTTATGTGTGAATAGTTGATTTCATTTTTTCTTTACGTAAAAATTTGTTACCTTGTAGACAGGTCCAAAGCCACCCTCCCCAATCTTATTTGTGCAAGAAAAATTGTCACTTGCCTCAAGAATGGTTGTAAAGTCAAATATATGCATACCACCACCTGTCCTTTTCTTTTTCCACTGTTCTCTTCCTTCATCGTTTGGAACAGAAATTTCAATGTTTTCTCCAATGATAGAGGATTGACTTGATTTCTTTTCGGCTGCATATTCAGCATAAAACATAAGGAAAATGTTTAGTAAACACTTCAGCGGGTGTCTACACCTTAAGAGAGAGAGATAAGAGATAAATGATAAACCTTATAAATGATATAATGCGATAAAAAAAAATTTGATAGAAAGATATGTAAAATTTTAGATAAGTGTTGATACTGTTTTAGTAATTATAAATCGCGCGAAGCTGAAAGTATAAAATTATTTTTATTTACTGGTATTGATGTTTTTTCAACCATAAAGCTTACTTCATGCAAGTTTTATATTAAGATTATTATAGCAGCTGTTACTCAAACTTATTCTGAATTTCCATATGAAAGATTACCTCTTTCTTTTTGTTTTCTCCTCGAAACAATAAAGCACGTCATGCATGAGATTATTAGGAGAAGAACTCCAACTGCTGCACATACGATCCATATTATCTTCTTATTGCCTTCTACAGGGGAGAAGGTAGTTAATTCTATATATGTAATTAAACAAATTTATAACTAATTTAACAAACATTATGACTTATTAAGCATTACTACTTCTTATTCATGGATATTATAGTTGTACATCAATCATATTTATATATTACTTAGTAAATATACGAACTCATCAATCTATATATATTGGTCAAATGACAAAGATAAATCAACACACAAAGTCACACACACATGTATAGTCATACTAGAATAAATCAATAATCACACAGAAAAAAACCCTATATTTTATCAGGTTGATTGTATTAACTTACTTGCTTTGGTTTCAGTACGAAAGAAAAAAATTGGACGCCCAATAGCGGAATCAGTCGCAACAAAGTGTGCTGTTCCCTTAGTCCATATCTCGCAACCAGTTGCATCCTGATTTGCGTAAGTGTAGGCCTCACAGGAACAATTACTCAAGCATTTCATCCAACAATCAGAAATGGTCAAGTTCTCACTTTCATCAAATATGAACCCTTTCCTTGACATTGCCCCAATGCTATTCCAATTGGGCAAGTACAAATCATCATCTTCCCTACATTTTGAAGGCCTTGGCATTGAACAACCAGGGGGAATGTCACCATCAACACATGAGTAAGAGACACCACTGGCATTCAATGTACCCAATGGTCCCATTGTCATATGACTAGAACTTGAAGCATATTCAAAGTAGGTTACATTTTCATTCGAAAAAAAAGTGAAATTGAATTGCTCTTTGTATGAGTTTAAGTTGATGAAACTTCCATTTCTCCATGGTCCACTACTCCAAACTATGGTCCCTCTCCACCTACTAACCAATTGGTTTGTTTTGAGGTCAAGTCTAAGAGAGAAAGACCCTGACCAAAGAGATTTAAAACTTCTCCTTGCCGTTAAAGACCAAGTATGACCCGTGAGCTTGTCATACCCAATCTTCATCCCTGGTACAAGTGTGTCCATGGGGTAATCAAAGCTCTGCCATAATACCCTTTTCACAGACCTGTTTGAGTTTAATTCATGAAGCACAAAGTTCCCCGTGTCTAGCAAAGTGGCACTAACACTTTTGTTTCTTGCAGCTTCTGTCGAATATAGCATGATAGTGGTAATGCACAAAATTTTCAGATTGCCACATTCATCAATTGTGAGAACTCCAGGATCATCATGGATTGGATTATCTCTATTTGCAACCCAAACATAGTAATTATTGAACGATATTCCAAGGTAGAATTTGCTGTTATCTTCAGAGCCATCAAGCTGAAAGAAACGCAATGTGTACACACCAGAAGATGAAATCAAATGGTTGGTTGCTGCAAGCTGATAACCTTGGAGAAGTGTGTCTTTTCTCGAGTTTGAAGACTTTGTCAAGTGCATGAAACAAGTAAAAATGATGAAGCATAGCATTCTTTTGCTAAAAGTCATTGTTAATGAAACATGCACAGGAGACATAACATAATATGAATTTATTCAAAAGGGTTAGAGTGAGAAGCATTGCTAAAACTTTAATTGATAGTTGTTTGGAGTTGGTCTATCTACCTGAAAAGCAAGTCCAAGTCATAGACCAAAGGGTCAAAGGAAGGTCCCTTGCATTTAATATCTATCTATCTATATATATGAGTTCTAGTTTATTATGTAATCTACCCTTTTATATATTTAAACTTCTCTACTCTTGAAAACGAAGACATCTTTTGCTTTCCTCTTTTTCTTGCATAAAAAATGACTTCACAATACGTATTATTTTTTTATGTTTTTAATTTCTTATTTTCTATATTAAAATTTATTTATTAATCTTAAATCTCAGCTTTCTATAATTAATTACTATTATCTTTATATTTTCTAATTTTTTAATTATTCATACTATTAAATTAATTTATTTATTTTTACATTTGTTCTTTTGTCTGTAAATCTGAGTGTCTATATTTAAGTATACTGTTTAATTGAATGTTTGTTGAATAAATTCTTTTAATGCGAGAGTTTATAGTATAGTTTTTTTAAAAAGAAATTTAAAATATTAGTTTGACCAAATATGCTAAACCTATCATTAAAATAAATTAAGAAAAACCTATGAAAGTAATAAATTGTTTATAAAATTTTCTATATGCTCCAATGATATAGGTGGGGATTAAATTATTTCAAGAAATAACTTTTGCAAAAAATAATCTTTTTAATATCTTATTTTAAAAATACTGAATTTCATTTTCTTCACTGTTTTAATAATATGATATTAACATGTTGATTATACATATAAAATTTTTAAATAAATGAGATAATTATAGACATATAATTTTATACTTAATATTTTTTTAAAAATGATCATATTTTTTATTGATGTAATTTCATAAATTTAATATGTTCAATAAAAAAATTTAATTCAATAATTATATTAATAAAAATTACTAAACAAAAATAATTTTGACGGATATTATTTCTAAAGCTACTTAATGTCCATTCATATAATAGTTTTACATCTTACTTTGGCTTATTTCTTCTCAGCTGTCTACACATATGCAGTGTGTCCAAAGGAGTCCAAAATTGACTAAATAAAGGAATGAGTCCCAAGTTTGAATGCCATTTAATGATCTAATGGCTCCCACTCTAAGAAAATCAAAAGGAAACGCATTCACACTTTCCAATTCCCATTTTCCTGTTTAAGTCAATAGCTAAGTGACGAGATTGGGTTTGTAATTTTTACGAGATACTACTATTTTTTTTTTCGTTTTCTTAATTTAATTTTTATATAGAAAAGCTATGATTTAATTCTTAGGTATACAATTTTAAATTGCTCATTGTTATATAACATGTTAACGTAGATAGATAAAAGGGACTAAAACATAAATAAATATTATATAAAGATTAAAATGTTAAATTTTAATTATAAAAATTAATTTATAAATAAGTATTAATTATGATGACTAAATATATATGTTAATTAATTGTATTTTATAAAAATAAGACTCTAAATTTAGTTAAAAATACCTGCATTATAGTCTAATATTATCTTTAAAATATACTTAATTTTTTATTACTAAAATTTTTGTTTTATTTTATAAGATTTTGTAACTTTAATTTTTTTAAAACTAATTTAAGCATTCAAATTTAAAAGTACATTCATTATATAAAAGTTATAAAATGTAATGACTCTTTTTTAACAATTTTTACAATTAAATGTTTAAATCTAGTCTTAAGGATTAAAGTTAACATTTTTTTTATTTTGTATTTGTATTTTTTTATATCATTAGAGAAATGAACAAAATATCAGCACTAATGGGAATTGGAAATACTTATCTATAGTTAATACTTATTTACAAATTAATTTATATTTAATTTTTATACAAGATTTTTTTATATTTACATCCCGTTTATTTAAATCATTAACATATCTTTAAATGATAAAGATTAATATAAAAAAATTTACTTGTAAAGTGATTAATTTTTTAATGCAAAAAATAAAATAAAATTAAAAAGCGTGTAAAATTTCAAGATTAAATTTATAATTAACTTAGTATTTAAAAAAGGGATTGAGAAATTTTGGAATGGGTCGTGTGGTGGAGCCAATCTTTAAAACATTAATAAATTCATAGAACTATTAAATTATACATGAATTCATGATAAAAATGAAAATAAAGTTAAAAGCTAAATAGTTAGATATTTTAATGTTTAAAAATGGTTTATTTTAATAAGACTTTGTTCCCTTTTCTTTTGCAGATTTATTTTTTAAAGACTGATTGGGCTTCAATAGCAGTATGGGCCCAATGCCATGCGAATGACTAGTATTTTTAAAGACTAATTGTTGAAAAAAAGAGAGACTAATTGGGATTTCGTTAGCCAAGAAAACATAATTAGGATTTCAAGACCAAAACAAAAACTAATTGGGATTCAATAATGACTCATTTTTTGTTAATTGTAAGTTGGAAAATTTATTCAATAATGATTCAACAACGGCACCATACTTTTGAACCTTCATTGTAATATGATGAAAAAAATTTACCCTTTGTTCTGCACCATGCTTGCCCCTTTGCTAAGTAACAGTTCCATGCCCCCCTGATGACTAATAAGTGTCAATCTTCGCGATTATTTTCAAGATATTTTGAAAATCAATAATCCTATATACTAAAATAAAGGGTTTATTAAAGTCTTTTTCTAAAAGAACTTACCTAAATTAAAAATCATGAGATTATATTTCTTAAAACAACTTTGTATCTGTCCTTGTAATAGATAGTATGAACAGCTGAAAGTAAAATATATTCCTACTTTTTAATAAAGGACAACATACCTATGGGAAAAAATTAAGTATAGTAAAATCATAAAAATTACAAAAAAAATGGTAAAAATAGCTTACAATATATAAACAACAGATAAGTCCTAAATTAGCCTATCTATAAAACTTATGAGGAGGACTTTTAAACATTTCACTACTATTATTATTGCTTCTCAGAACCCAATTTTTGCAAAATCTTGTAACTTCCTTCCACCTTCAAAATATCAATATATTGGAGGATTTTCCACCTTCACATCACTTGTATATACTTACAAATTATACACAAGACTTTCAAACATCTCCAAGAACATGGATATTTATCTACCTGATGACAATGAAATTGTTGTCTCATTTACGGAATAACTTTTATGCTGCCCAATTTCTTTCTTGGTTTCAATGGTACAAAATCCTGGTTTTTTAGGTGGAGATAATTGGGCATTTTCATTTGACAGAAAAGAAACAACCTCAAGCATAGTGGGTCTGGCTCTTGCTTGATCTTGAGTGCATAAGAGACCAATATGAATGTAGCGTAACACTTGGAAAGAAGGGTATGACCCATCCAACATTGTGTCCATTAGCTTTAGTGCTTCGCCTTCATTCCATAGTTTCCACGCCTGAAAACAAATACACTTTGTTAATTGTCAAACTAATATTGACACAGTTTCATTTATAATTAGTTGCATGCTATGCATCACTTACATAAACTACAAGATTTAGTGGGTAATCATCACTATTTTTCTTTCCGCTCACAACCTCCAGCAATAGGATGCCAAAGCTATAAACATCAACTTTAGTTGAGATGACACCCATCATAGCATACTCTGGAGACATATAGCCACTGAAACAGTAATATGAAATAATCCTTCAAACATTTTAATTTTAAGATTTGAAACAAATGTAAACATAATTTTTTTGTAAAATACTTACTATGTTCCAACAATTCTATTAGTTTTTTCTTCTGTTTTTGTCAATTCAAGTATTCTAGCCATTCCAAAGTCAGATATTTTTGGATTCAACTCATTGTCAAGTAAAATGTTGCTAGCTTTCAAGTCTCTATGTATCACTTTCAATCTTGAATATTGATGTAAATACACAAGTCCTTGTGCAACTCCTTCAATAATTGTACGTCGTACATTCCATTCCAACACGTTTCTTTTGTTGGAATCTACTTTGAAGGAAAGATTAGTAATCATAAGTAACAAAATACATAATATAAAATATGATTGAAATATTAAGCACAAAGCATGAAAATATTGGACGATTAATGAGTAAACTTCCATACCGAAGAGATATAAATTCAAGCTATTATTGGGCATGTACTCATAGACTAATATTCTTTCTTCTCTGTCGATACAAAAACCAAGAAGCCTCACTAGATTAGTGTGCTGGAGTTTGACTATTAGCATCACTTCATTTTTGAACTCTATCAATCCCTGTCCTGAGCTTTTCGAAAGTCTCTTTATAGCTATTTCTTGTCCATTTGCCAGTTTCCCCTAAAAAAGAATGATTGAATCTCTATAAAGTATACACTTGCATAATATGTGTGGGAGCAGAGTCTTGCTAATAGGTGCTTTCATCACAAATTACGATTGAGTGCATTATAATTCATGGTAAAAGTGTATTGATAATACCTTTTTATAAAATTTTTCACCTTTTTAATTTTTTAATCAATATTCATGTCAGCATTCTCCTAGGGACTATGTTGATGAGAGTGAAAATTTTGATCAAAGTTAAAAATAATTTAAAAGTTTGGTCTGTTTTTTAATTTTCTAAGCTTATTGACTATAATTTAAAGTTCTCCACATATTAGTCCCTCTTTTTCATGATCAAATTCCTTGCCTATAGGCATATATGGAATATGGTTATGAAGATTTGATAGAAATGGAAACATTAACAAATAATAGTGAAATATCAGTATATTACCTTATAGACAGGTCCATAGCCACCCTCCCCTATCTTATTGGTGGGTGAAAAATTAGCAGTTGCCTCAAGAATAGTTTGAAAGTCGAATCTATGTGTATCATCACTCGTCATTCCGTCATTCCTCTCTTTTCTTTTTTCACCATAGTCAGGGGAATTTGCAATGTTTCTTTCAATACTAGATAATGGGTTTATTTGCTTCATACGCTTTTCAGCTGCACAGTATGCCAGAAAGTTTAAAGATAGTGAATGATCTTTGATTCACAATGTAATAAATTTATGATATTTCTATCTGAACTCATGTGGTGTTATAGAGTTTTTTTATTAGACTATAGTGTAAAGCTACCACCTATTAGTTTACACATTCATTTATGCAAGTATTGTGATAATGAAAACATTATTATAGTATCTTATCTTCAACTTCAATTTTGATGGTAAAGTTTACCTCTTTCTTTGCGTTTTCTCCACAACTTAATGCACGTGAAGCACAAGATGATAAAGAGAAGAGGTCCACATATTGCAGCTATGATCCGTATCCTTCTAATATTCTTGCCTGCATTGGAAATTGTTAGTAGCAACGCAAGCTGTTATTTAAAAAATAGCATGTAATCTATGGAGCGTGGCAAGACTTGAACCGTATCAAAATGTTAAATTTACCACAACATACACTTGATAATAGTTTCATGCTTTAAAAAAAAAAATTCTAAAATTTAAAACAAGTTGTTGGCACAAATTATTTCACAACTACATGGAGTAAGTAAACTTGCTATTCTACTTTTATATTTGCTTGTATATTGTTTGCTTAAGTCAAAATACTTTCCCCAATTAAAATGATGCTCTAATGTGTGATATGATCATTTTGGTGAATATTGAAATACTAAAATGCTGAACATTATTCGTGTTTCCAAAAAAGGTATCCTGTTTCGCAATTTTGAAATAATCGTCATATATATAACAATCTTGAGTTTAGTTTTAAAAGCATTAATACTCACATGATATAGAGCAAAATGTTCTAGATAAATGAAGATCCTAGGCCTTAGTAAGAGCCTACTAATTAACTTAGCTCTTTTTTTAAAATTGTTAATACTTCACTATTATTTATAATTTTTAAACAATGGAAAATGACATTATAATTTTAAAATATTGTCAATTATCCCTGTTTTATCATTCTACTTAAATAAACCAATTGAACTATTCAACTCACAAAGCATGCAGGCACAATTGTTACTACAACTCGAGGCCCTTACCCAAGTTTCATCCGCACCAACTTTCACGCATGTTTCGAACAACAATTACAAGAAATTTTCATAATGACAAGGGTAAGTAACTCAAATCTCTGTCAAGGTTTGGCACTGTTATACTTACCCCACCAGAGAGTTTGCTTACCAAAGTTTAATTAACTAAAAATATTACTACAATATATATATTTTTTCAATATCACACAGTCATATTTTACTGGTAATAATCTAATTTGAATTAAATAGAATTATTACAGCGACGAAATTCTTTCTCTAAATATTAATATATATATATATATATATATATATATATTTACATTTTAATGTTCACAAATCTTAAAAATATATCATAAATATAAAGAGGTCTCCACTAAATGAACTTTTCTTTACTTACCTTGTCCTGTGCGAATGAAGTAAATTTGTCGCCCCTCAGCCATGAAATTATCAGAGGCTTGAAAGCTGGTTGTGCCATTGCTCCATATCTCGCAGCCAGTTTGATCCTGATTAACATAAGAGTAGGCTTCACAAGAGCAATTATTCAAGCACTTCATCCAACAATCAAAATTAGTCAAGTTGTCCTTTTCATCAAATTTGAACCCATTCCCTAACATGACCCCGTAGCTACTCCACGTGCCCAAGTATAAACTATCTTGGTCCCTACATTTAGGTGGAATTGGCATTGAACAACCATCGAGAAAGTACCGATTAGTGCATGAATAAGAGTTACCACTGCTTCCAACTATTGCACCCAAAGATCCTAAGGAAATCCAACCATATGTTGGGTTTCGACCATATTTTACATATGTTACATTTTCATTTGAAAAGTACTCAAAACTGAAGTCACTTTTGAATAGTGATGATTGTAAATTTTCAAAAGTTCCATTGTTCCATTTTCCACTACTCCAAACAATCATTCCTGTCCACCACATCACTAGTTCATTTGTTTTGGGATCAATCCCAAGTGCGAAAGACCCTGACAAAGGAGACACACCACTTCTCCATGATGTTAAAGAGCAATTATAGCCTGTTTTTCTATCAAATCCAAGTCTCATCCCAGGTATAAGTGTGTCTGAGGGGTGATCAAAGCTTTGCCATAATACCCCTTTAACTGACCCATCTGGATTCATCTCACGAAGCATGAAGTTACCAGTGTCCTCAAGGATGGCACCAATAGTATTGTTCTTGTTACTTGCCGCTTCAGCAGAATAGAGCATGATAGTGGGATTTGAATTTCCCTTGTCGGAAATAATTTTCATGTTACCATGTTCATCTATTGTGAGATACCCTGAAGGGTCTTGGATTGGCGTGTCTCTATTGGCTATCCAAAAATAATCAGAACTTGAATTGCGAGATGATAGTCTAATTCCAAGATAAAAATCTTTAGAGCCACCCAACTGAAAGAAACACAGAGTGATTAAACCTGAAGATGAAATCAGGCTTTTAGTTGTTGTGAGATTATTACCCTGGAATAAAGTGTCTTGGTTCACGCTTGAAGGCTTTGCTAAGTGCAAGAAACAAGTGAAAGTTATGAAACATAGTGCACTTCCACTGAAAACCATTGTTGATATGGAACATGCATACGGTGAAAGGTGCAAATATTCCACAGCACGCTTTTGATATTAGCCTGTAATATGAGAAGTTGCAGTCATGGATCAATGCGAATCATGTGATTATTATTTAATTTCAACAATTAGGGAAAATAAACTGAATTGGGTCAGTTGGTATTTATTGACCTTTGAACATGGATCTCTTGCAACCCTTTGTCCAAGAAAAATTATTGGATAGATTGGAACCATTGTGTATCCATAATTTCAACTAATCACTTTTTAGCATGCGTAACAAATTTAGTATTTTTTTTAATTAACTAAGAAGCATGACCACGTGTCGCATGGTAAGTAACTGAGATCATAAATGCTTCTTGATTATCCAATAATTTGTCCTCCTCCAGCCACCACTTAACATGATTTCATGTTCTTGAATTTATAATTTAATGGATGAGATTGGTCAAACAAGAGATAAATAATTAAATGGAAGAGAGAGTTATTTATTTTGTGAAGATTAGATGGTTCAACTGCTATAGAAAATAAAATTGCGTTTTTGTTTAAATTTAGTAAAAAATAATAATTGTTTTATTTGTCTAAATGTTCTGTCGTTCTTAAAAAAACTAAAATCCTCACAGCAATCAGCTAAAGTCAATGATAAAATTACCGTACTATGCGTGTACATTGTGCATTTGTTGTCTTTGCTTCCGTTTTCTTTTCTATTGAATACAAGGAGCCGCAGCCCAAAGAGATAGAAAGGAGAAAAGACTTATCTTCCTACAACTTTCATATATAAGTTATATTATTCTTACATGTGTTTTCATAAATTTTTCACTATCCCTCTTTGTATATATTTAATGGGTTTTTAAGCATCTATAAATATTTTTTTAATAAAAAAGTACATATTTATTGTATTAAAATTATAAAATATAATATGTTTTTGATAAAATTTTATTGTTTTTAATTGTTTATTCTCAATCTTAAGATTAGGTTAACAAAACTCATATTTAATTAATTTAAAGTTAAGTAAAATTAAATTTTAATTACCAAATATAACTGAAATTTGTATATAAATTATTTTAAATAATAAATTTATTAAAAAATGTTTTTAAAAAGTATAAATATTAATTTTTTAATTGTAAAACAAATAAAGCCTTTGTTGCACAACTTCTTTTATTCCATATATTTTTTCTCTATCTATCTATTAATTGTAAAAAAGAAAAAAAAAACGTATAAAAGTGTTGATAAAGGTGCTGTTAAATAGGCCTTTTGTTTAGTTTTTCTATTAAGCATTTTAGTATTTCATAAAAATATTATTAAATATAAAATATGATTAAGGAGCATTAATTAATACATCTTAGTAAATACTTTTAATTAATTAAAGAAATAAATAAATAAACTTTGTATTTTCTGTATAATAAATGCTTTTAATAACAATCATATTATATTGAAACTCACCAATCACAATGCAAATGTGTTGGTAACACTTTTATATATATATATATATATAAAAGGATTTCTTAACTAATGTCTCAAAAGTACTTATTAGCACTTTTTATAATAATTTTGTTAATAAAAAAATCTAGTTTTGTTTATTTAACTATTGTTCTTAAGATTTTAGACTTCATTAGCATTCGTTATAAGGTATTGAGAAAGGGTTGTAAGGAAATATAACATCATTTTAAGTATGTTATGAAATAAATTGATTAAGCTTTTAATTAATGAATAAAATATGCACTTTGTTTTTGAAATTTGGAAATGACCTATTTTATTGGGGTCAATGATGGCTTCTTTACTTTAATCGTTGAATTAAGAGCATTTGTATAATCTCATTATTTATTTTTGTTGAGAAAAAAGTTGAATTTGACATTATTAATTAGGCTCCCTCTTGTGACTGAAACTCGCATATTATATAATAATGTTACCAATAAAAAGATCTGCCTTTGAAGCTAAAGCATATTCTTCTTGCAATTCACTATTAGAAAATCGAAACTGACTATAATGACAGTGATAGAAATTATAAACAAAAACAATTATGTTTTTATTTTTTATTCTCCCCGTTTTCCTAGTTTGGCCCGTAAATCGATTTTTATCTTCTTCTATCTTTATTATTATTATTTTATGTGCAAAAGTTATAGTAATTATTTTCTGTTCCCATTGCTATGTTTGATCGAGCAAGAACAAGGCTGGGTAGATTGAAAATGAAATTGTTAGTGCGATTATAAATAAATAAAAAAATCTTGTACGCTTTTCTACAAGAAAAGTTTAGGTTTTGGATGACGGGAGGAATATATTGACATTAGGTTTAGATATACTTATAATTTATCTTTTTTTTATATAATTTAATATTTTAATATTTTAATTTTTTATTCTTATAATTTTAAAATTTTGGTATTGTTATTAATAATATGCCAAAATTATTATTTAATTATTAAGATATAATATTTATTGTGTGTGTAAAAGTAAGATATAAAATTTTCAATCAATATCTAATACATTGAAGGAATCAAAATTTTAATAAAATAAAATTATGGAGATCAAAATTAAGAATAAATAAAAATATAATGACCAGATTTAAATCTATAAATTTATAAAAACAATATATATATATATATATATATATTTGAAAGTGTAAAAATTTAAAAAAATTGAGATAAATTATAAGAATAATATATATATATATATATATATATATATATATATTAATCTTGAGTTAATAAACTTCTATCAATGATGATTCTTGGAATTTAAGTCAAATTTATTCAAAAATTATGAGTAAAATATAGGTTAAGTATAATTTCAATTTAAATTATTTCAAATAAATAATTTTGCATATCATTATTTTTTATTTTAGTTTTGAATTTGTCTCTAAAAACTATTAAAAATACATAATTTTAATACTTGGTGAGAGATTAAAATTAATTTTTTAAATATAGAAATTAAAATTTAATAAATTTTAAAGAATTAAAATAAAAAATATTTTTAAGAACTAATTGGTTAATATTTTAGTCAGTCATTTGATTGTTGGACTTTGTAGTTGAAAGAATAGGCCCATGAAACGGCCCACCATTGTTTGTTCTGTAAATATTCAATGACCCGTTTACACTTTTCCCGACCCGTACCGGTTCGGATTAGATCCGACCGGGTCGGGGCTCACCATGTTCGTTACTTAGATTGTTCACCATTTGCAGAGGTTGTTTTGTCGCAGGAACACATAGAACTAAAACCCCTGCTTCTTCTTCTGCTTCACACCAACACAATGCCTTTCATATCCAAAATTCAGCGCCAATCTGATTACAGTCTCTTCGGTTCCGCCACTCCCCTCGTGATCGACAATGGCGCCTCCTATTTTCGTATTGGGTACTCTCACAAACCCTAATTTCACTTATAAAATTGAAATTTCTTTTTTTTGGGTGCGCGTTTTTTCTTTTCTTTTTTCCGAATCAGCTCATGATGGGGTTGTTGATTTTAACGTTAAAGTTTGTTCTTTTGGTGAATTATCAGATGGGCTGGAGAGACTGAACCTCGTGTTGTTTTCCGCAACATTGTGCAAAGGCCACGCCACAAAGCCACTGGTATCTATGTTCCCACATTTTCATCTTGCTCTTTTGTTCTTCTCCAGCTTACTTACTGTGTCATATGTTGTTTGTGTTTGTCTGAAATGTTTCTATATTGTCAAAAGCTTGATAAGTGAAACTGTGTAGTTAATATTGTATGGTGGTTTGTGGATTTTCAATAGTTTATATTGATTGCGTGAAAAAATAAAATAGGAGAGATGTGTACAAGTGTATTTATTATTCTGAATTAATAGGCTTTATATATTTTTAAGAGGAACCTGTCTGATAGGCTGGTAATGAGCAAACAAAAAGGCAGTTTGTTGCATGTTGAATAATTGTTTTTGATCATTCTGTTCCACAGGAGAAACTGTCACCATTGTTGGTGACCATGATCCAGCATTATTGAAATACTTTGATTGCACTCGCTCTGGACCGCGCTCAGCATTTGACAGCAATGTTGTGTACCAGTTTGAAATAATGGAATATGTAAGTTTTCACTTCGCTCAGGTCAAAAGTGGAATGTGAAATCGTAGGCTTTTGATAACTAATCTGAAGGAAGGTGTAGCATACTAAATATTATGGAAATAGGATCATGCAAATAAACTGGTCTATGATTTCATTAATATAAAAGAACATATTGAGAAAGGCATTACTGACATTTTCTTTCATTATTCATACATAGATTCTGGACTTTGGATTTGATCGGATGGGTGCAACAGGATCAGAGGTATGCCCATTAGTGGAGTTGTGTTTTTCATTTTTCTTCCCTGATCATTTAGCTTGTTATATTTGTTAGTGTGACATTATAAACTCCAATAGACTACTACTATTAATTTTTGTATGCTAGTAAGTTTGTGGGTTGTGTAGTATTGTTACCTAGTAGTTTCTTGGTTTTGATGAATACTGATTTTTCTCTTTTGTAAATTCTACAATTTAAATTATTTAACTAACTCTTTTCTATTGTTACGGTTAATGCCAGAGCAGATTGATCATCCTGTCCTGATCACAGAATGTGTATGCAACCCTGTTCAGTCTCGTAGCAAAATGGGAGAACTTCTTTTTGAGACTTACGGAGTTCCATCTATAGGTACTAATACTTCATTGATCCAACAAAAACAAAAAGAATTGTTTCATCTCTTACAAGTAGCCTTAGTAGGAAATTAAGTGCTTGCTTGCCTATTGTCTTTTGCCCAATCTTCATCACAAAGTCTATTCTTAAATGGAAAACCAATCTCAATGTGACACCTTCTAGAACATGCTTGACATCTTGTGACATAGTTGTTACTAGTTTGGACCCCATTACGGGTGCATGTATATCTCTATTCCATGCTAGATATTGTACACATAATTCTATGCTTCTGTCATTGCAGCCTTTGGTGTTGATGCAGCATTCAGCTATAAATATAATCAACAACTAGGTGTTTGTGATAAAGATGGTCTTGCTATGTGTCCGGGGTTCACTACAACTCATGTGATTCCGGTATGCTTTTTGTGTTATTTACTTCTAAGTTCTAACAGTTCAGTTTTATATGCAAAAGAAAACACTTATCATTTTTGTTTCTCCTTTCACATTAACATTGTTATATTTGTAAGCATTATATCATTTCATCAACTTTGTGATTATCATGGCTAATGTTTTTAATATGCTTGTTTACTTTGGAGTCTTCATTGGCCTGCAATATTTATGAAAACAATTATCTTGTTTTGTGCAAGTGTGTGCTTTTGTGCTAAGTAACTGTCGCATTTTTTTATCAGGATGCCTCATTTGTTCTGTGTTGCTGTAGCAGACATACTCACTGTCACCAAAATAGCATTGATCTGTATAATTATTTTCAATATGTTTTGGAGATAAATTCAATAATAATCAATACTAATGTGAAGGAATCTCCTTACGGTTTTCTAAAATAAAATTTAAAGTAGATGGTTTAACACAATTTTATATCTGTTCTTGTAAAAGAGGGTGTAAGCAGTTGAAAGTAAAATTAGGTATAAGAAACACCTAAAAATGAAAAAGAATTGGTAATTTTTTTTTAAATGTTTAAATAAACTTTATGTTCTATGCTGCCATATAGTAGAGTTGCTGGTAGGATTTAGACAGCCTTATTAAGTGTATCAAGTGTTATAATTCTACATAATAATTTTTATTTTTATTTTTATATATCCAGTTTGTAGATGGGGAGCCTGTTTATAAAGGATGCTGCCGCACTAATATTGGTGGATTCCATGTGACTGATCATTTAAAGCAACTTCTTTCACTTAAATATCCTTACCATATGTGAGTATAAAATCATCTTGGCCATGCTATCATCAAACTGACCGCAGATACATAGTATTTCTTAGGTTCTATTAAATTATAAACGCAGGGCTAGATTTACATGGGAAAAGGTTGAAGACCTAAAGATGGAACATTGTTATATTGCACCGGATTATGCTTCTGAAGCTCGGTTGTTTCAGGTAAGATAAGGTTCTTCTTTTTCATCTAAATTCATGCACTGTTTCTAAGATTTATCTTCATAAATGGTCTGACAGAAAGGAGCTAAGGAGGCTGAAGAAAAAACCAGATGTTGGCAGCTCCCTTGGGTTCCACCTCCAACAGAGGAACCTCCTTCTGAGGAAGAGATTGCAAGAAAGGCAGCAATAAGAGAGAGACAAGGTCAAAGATTACGAGAAATGGCTGAGGCAAAGAGATCATCTAGAATAAATGAATTGGAAAATGAATTGCATGGTTTGGAATTTCTTTTACAACAGCTTGAACAAGTTGACGAGAGTGATGTTCCATCTTTTCTAGGGGAGACTGGCTATGTCTCTAGGCAAGAGATAGAATCTGCCCGTCTTAAAGTTATGCAATCCTTACGGAAAGCAAAAGGTGACCCAAGGAGTGAACAACCTGAAACTGAAAAGGCTGACCCTGCCAGTAATGAGAAGTACTCTCTTATAAACATACCTGATGATATGCTGACCCCAGATCAGGTCAATTTTGTATCTAATAGCATATCACATGCATCATTAGCTTGAACTTGCTGTCTTCCCACCCGTTAAATGTATTTGTAAATATTGTGCATGTTGTTCTCTGTGCCTTATGAAGTTGACAATGTTCATGGGGTTTCTCTGTTGATAGCTCATTGAAAAGAAGAAACAGTTGTCACTTAAATCCATGTCTGAAGGGCGGCAAAGACTAAAGCAAAAGCGTTACGAGGAGGAATTGGAGCGAGAAAGGAAACAACAGCTAGAGGAGGAAAAACGCCTGTATGTTTCATGCTTTAATCTATTCAATTTAATTAAAAGTACTTTGCTGCTTATCTATGTGAATTAAAGAGCTTTCCATTGTTTCAAGTTCAACTTAGTAAAATTAAAATAAATAAATAAATGAGTGAGAGCAATCACTTTCTGTTTAAGGTTACCAAGTGTCTTAACAAGGGAGAGAAAAGTGCATGCTGTACTATCTGCCTTAGCTATGTTAGGACATTGCTTTTTTACAACTACAAAGCATGGCTTTAATCTTGAAAAGGGTTGAAAGTTTTCTGATTGTTTTTCTGCCCTTCTCGCTGTAGGGAGAACCCAGAGCTTTACTTGGAGCAGTTGCATGTTAGATACAAAGACCTTTTGGAGAGAGTTGACCAACGAAAACGGCTCAAGACAAATGGAGGCCATACTAATGGAAATAATTTCTCCACTGGCATTGGTCGTGGTGAGAGACTCAATGCTGCTCAAAGGGAGAGAATGCGCCTCTTGACAACTGCAGCCTTTGATCGTGGCAAGGGTGAGGATACATTTGGTGCCAGAGATGAAGATTGGCAACTATACAAGTTGATGAGCAAAGATAATGATGATGATGATGAGGGACCAGATGAGGATGACGCAGAGCTAGCTCGCATCTCTTCAAGGCTACAGGTTAGTTTGTGTCTTTTATAATGTTAAACTTACAGATGCCATGTGAATGCTGTCTGCGTTTGCATGGTCATGTTGATGACTCACGGAAGTCTTCTTGCTTTATTGTTTTGCTTTGGCATAGGACTTGGATCCAACATTTGTGCCCAAGTTAGAAACAGGTACCTCTCAACCTGCTGAGGTGCCACGTGTCCGTTCTCTCACCAAAGAAGATTTTCAGATTGTGTTTGGGGTTGAAAGGTTTAGATGCCCTGAACTTTTGTTCAATCCCAACTGGATTGGGGTGGATCAGGTAGGACTAGATGAGATGGCCGGGGTCTCAATAAGAAGGTTATCATGTAAGGATGAAAGCCTGGAAGGGAGACTCACTAACTCCATACTTGTGACTGGTGGAAGTTCTCTTTTCCCTGGCATCGTCGAACGTCTTGAAGCCGGAATTCGGATGATTAGACCCTGTGGATCACCTATAAAAATAGTTAGAGCACTGGATCCAGTTATGGATGCATGGCGTGGTGCTGCTGCCTATGCATCAGCCCCAGAATTCCATACACAAACTTTCAGTAAGATGGATTATTATGAAAAGGGTGAAGATTGGCTTCGCAGTTATCAACTGAAATATTCATTGTAATTGATTTGCTGACACAGAACTGTATGATGACTTGAGCATCGTACCTCAAGTTAGACTAAATATTTATTCACTCATTTAACTTGCAGGTCATACTATTGCTGAAGCTAGAAGTAGTATGTATGCCTATTGAGATTTTTCACTTTTCAGTCTGATGAAGAATATCATCCGCGGGGTTTGTTTTAGTTGATGAAATTGTGTACATTGTTTTCATTATCCACTCGTTTGAGAATCGTGCTAAAATCTGTGATCCTGCACTCACAAAATTTAAGGTTGCTGTTGAATTATTCAGTGGTATTAGAGCTGGCTAGAGAAACTATGTATACTTTGTGGTCATATGCTTCATAATTTAATACCGTGTCACTGTTAATCCAAAAGTGGATTATTAGCTTTTTTTTACTTAGAAGATATTATTATTTACAACATCCTGTGTTTGCAAAATGAGGTGTGGGTTGAAGTGGAGATCCATAAGCTTTTTATGAATGCTTCTCTGGATCCATCAAATTTATATTATATTCAATCAAATACACCCAACTATTGCATGTATCGGTGTTTAGAATAAAGAAATAAAAATCATTGACTGAAGTTGGGAATGTGCACTAAGTTTATTTTTCTTGAAATCTATAAAAAGTGCTCAAAAGTACCTTTATGAAAATCGATGTATGGATGGAAAATACCCAATTCCTCGAATGTAACCCTTTGGTGGAAAAATTAACACTAACTCCTAAGGTTAAGTTTTAAACATCTAAAGAAAAAGTGGACAAAAAAAATTTAAAAATAATATAATTTTATTAGAAATATAAATATTTATTACATTAATTTTAAATATAATAAATTTTTTAATAAAAATATTATTTAACATGCTTAAAATCAGAAATATTAATGTTAATAATTTAATAATAAAAAAGGACATTAAACAACATTTTAAAAATAATTTTTCTAACTCCTGAAACATTGTATAAATAAAAAATTGTATATAATATTTTTTATAAAAATTATAATATTTAATATTATTAATGTAAAAATCAATGTTTCCATGATATTAAATACTATAATATTTTATGAAAATTTACTGTATATAACTACTTCTAAAAAATGGTTAAAAAAACAACCGTAACGGCTATGCACACATCTGGGAAGCCTGGTTGGTAATTGACCGTTGGAATCACTTTAAGGAAACAAATTCATAAACTTATCAAATCCGACACTCTTTCCTTTTTTCTCACGCTCCTCTAAACCTCTCCACAATTTGACCGTTGAGAACCAATAACACCCTTTGCACCAAATCCTCTCTCTTTCTGCTTTCAGAGACAGAGAAAGAGAGAGGCCATAACTTAATCCATTTCTTCCAATTCCATTTCACTGAATCTTCATTCAAGAAAAGTGAATAATCAAATCAGAAGCTGAAAATGGAGTCTCCAGAGGCCAGAAAAACAGGGTTGAACCTCCCAGCTGGGATGTCAGGAACCTCACTGCGCTTAGACACTTTCTCTTCACTTCGTTCCATCTCCAACCTCTCTTCTTCTCCTTCTTCAAAACCTTCCACATGCAGTGATAGGTTCATACCCTGCAGGTCCTCTTCAAGGCTCCACACATTTGGCCTCATAGAGAAGCCATCACCTGTCAAAGAAGGGAGTAATGAGGCATATTCTAGGTTGTTGAAATCTGAACTTTTTGGATCTGACTTTGTTTCTCCTTCTCCTTCTTCTCCTGCAGGTGCTCCTCCTTCTCCCATTAGTCCCAGCAAGAACATGCTTCGCTTCAAGACTGATCACTCTGCACCTTCTTCCCCTTTCTCTCCTTCAATCTTAGGCCAACAATCTACCTTCTCTTCTGAATCTTCAACCCCTCCCAAACCTCCTCGGAAAGTTCCCAAGACACCCCACAAGGCAAGTTCCTTTTTTTCTTCACTCTTGTGGCTTCTTCACATGAAAAAACTCTGTTTTGAAAAAAAAATTGCTTTTCTTTTATCCTTCGATGGATATTCATTATCATTACTCTGTTGGGTCTCTCTCTCCTTTAGAAAGGAATAGTCTTTGAGTGTAGAGTGGGGATAATCCTTGGTTTACACACAATAAAAAATGTTACATGTGAAGCTATTTATGGATCCTTACCCAAATTGTTTAAAGCTTTAGGAAGTGTTGATAATTTTCCTAATGTTAGAATCTAGCCAAGAAGTTAATTTCAAGCCCATGCCTTGTAAAAAACCCATTGCTCTTTTGTACAAGTCAAAATTAAGCATGTAAGAGAGTATGTACTTAATACAGTGCTTTAATTTACTTTTACATTGGATTGTTGAGAATGTTGAGTGCTAAAACCAGACAAGGTTGTGCAGGTTCTGGATGCCCCATCTCTGCAAGATGACTTTTACTTGAATCTGGTGGACTGGTCCTCACAAAATGTTCTTGCTGTGGGGCTAGGCACTTGTGTTTATCTATGGAGCGCTTCCAACAGCAGAGTGAGTCTGAATTAGCCAACAATTTCACAGCATTAATCTGAAACACCTCTTAAATTGACATTTAAAGGGAACATAACATATGTTTGTGGCTTTCAGGTGACTAAGTTATGTGACTTGGGGCCTTATGATGGTGTCTGTTCTGTCCAATGGACCCGGGAGGGTTCTTTTATATCGGTTGGAACAAATCTTGGTCAAGTTCAGGTACCTTGTTTGTTAACTTAGTTTTTGGTATCAATCCATGTTTTTTGATGACTTGAGAATAAAGCAACAACAACAACCAAGCCTTATCTCACTAGATGAGGTTGGGTTACACAGATTACACATTGATTTATTTGATGATTGAGAATAAGAGAAATTTTTGTCTTATGGTACAGATTTGGGATGGAGCACGCTGTAAGAAGGTCAGAACAATGGGTGGACATCAGACAAGAACCGGTGTCTTGGCGTGGAACTCTCGCATTTTGGCTTCAGGGAGTAGGGATAGGAACATACTTCAGCATGACATGAGGGTTTCAAGTGACTTTGTTGGCAAACTTGTTGGTCATAAATCTGAGGTAGAATATTTTGAAAGATATTACATTGATTTAACTAATGATTTTGTAATGGTAAAGGTTAATTGGAAGCTGAGAAACATTGATAGCAATTGTTACGCCCCAATTTGTGACAGGTATGTGGATTGAAATGGTCCTGTGATGATAGGGAACTTGCTTCTGGGGGTAATGATAATCAGGTATACCTATCTTATTTTCCTTGTCTTCCTTCTCTTTTGGGCATTTGGAAGAGCTTATGAAAATATCATATAGGTTTCATAAAAACTTTATTCAACCTATTTAAATAAGTTTGTGAGTATAACTTATCAGAATAAGCTCTTTTAGGCTTATTCCAATGATCAAATTTGTATTGTAAATGCTTAATTAAATTGCATTTCCAAACACACCATAGAAAAAGTGTTTTATCTTATAGTCTTTATTGAGTTTTTCCTATGATTTACCACTTCAATTTAATGTCTTATTCTATGAGCAGCTGTTGGTATGGAATCAGCACTCTCAGCAACCGGTTTTGAGACTTACGGAGCACACTGCTGCTGTTAAGGCCATTGCTTGGTCACCTCATCAAAGCAGTCTCCTTGTGTCTGGAGGTGGAACAGCTGATAGGTGTATTCGTTTTTGGAACACTACAAATGGCCATCAATTGAACAGTGTTGATACTGGGAGCCAGGTTTATTTCGTAGCTCTTTTTTGTCCACTGAGACTTGTGTAACAAATCTCATCAAATCAAACTAAGATCAATGCATAATCTGCAGGTTTGCAACCTTGCTTGGAGTAAAAATGTGAATGAACTAGTTAGTACTCATGGGTACTCCCAAAATCAGATTATGGTGTGGAAATATCCATCATTGGCAAAGGTAATTTACTTTGATAAATTCTAGATATTTTAGAGCAATTCCAACCAAGAAAATGTGTCTTAATTTAACACCTTGTGGACAAATTTTGACTAGGTTGCAACTCTAACTGGCCATAGCATGAGAGTGCTGTACCTAGCAATGTCTCCTGATGGTCAGGTAAGTAACCCACATAACATATTTTCCTTTTTATGTTGCAAAAATAAATTAAAATTATTATTTTTTACATTATTTTTAATTCAATGTGGTACAATTGCAGACTATAGTAACTGGTGCTGGGGATGAGACATTGCGGTTTTGGAATATTTTCCCATCAATGAAAGCACCAGTAAGCAATGTGACACCAATTTCTTCAATTATGCTTATTTCTCTTCAATCCTAAACCTCTCTATTAACTCTTCAATGCTTATTCATGTTGTTTTCTTCAGGCCCCAGTTAAAGATACAGGACTCTGGTCACTGGGGCGCACCCAAATTCGATGATCCCATTACATTTTGTTGATGATATTGGAACAAGGAAGAGGAAGAATGTTGTAATTAATTATCTGTATATGGAATATTATTTCATTGTAAGTTTGTAATTAAACACGGATATAGGAACTTATAAATTGTATAGTGCTCAACAAACATCAACGTTAAGTTTTCTATAATTATATAGTCTCTTTTTTGCTGCTGCTATTATGCTTGATATTTGATCGTGAAGGTATAATTTGTGGGCTAATATTTAGCAATAGAGAGAACAAATACTAACCATTTTTTTAATATACTTTTTTATATTATTAACTAAAATTTACTAATGTAAATTTTACTCTTAAATTAATAATTCTCATTCATATTTTATATTTTTAATATATTTTAATAAATAATAAAAAATGTGCTAGAGAAATAATGTCTTTTTAAAAATCAGATAACAAAAATGAATCTCTCTTAAGAAATAATAATAGTTGCAAAAAGAAAATCAGATTAAAGAAAATGAATTTGTATGGTTATCCAATCCCACCACGACATCTGACATGTTAAATAAATCTCTCTTAAGATGCCATTCTAAAAGGTGATTAAGAAATTGGGCTGATTTGACAGCATAAATTATCAAAGCAATAATAGAACGTATTTGAAGTGGTATTCAATAGAAATCTCCCCAGCTAGCTACAACCTATAAAATTAAATAATTTGTGTATAAACTTCATTTCACCAAACCATAATTCATTTTTTTCAAGCTACCCATTATATTATATCAAATGTTAACGTATATATGGTCCATTATCTTCAGAATTTTGAGACATAAATAAACTTAAATTTAGTTATTCTTTTGAATTAAAAAGTATATTCTTGTATTAGAAATACAAAAATTAGTTTTTGAACAGTAAACAAAACGAGTAACAATCATGGAATTGAAAAGATGCAACAGAGTCCTGCAATAAACGAAAACTCGAAAAGAAGGGAAGTGGGGGTGGTACACGGCAAGCATTGATACCATATTTATATAACAATGCTTACATAAAATTTATTTTATAATTAAAAATATATTTGACTGTAATCAACAAAGTTTTTTATTTTCTTAATCTTTGAGCCATAAAATTAATAATTTCCTCACCCAAAAAAATGATTTTCTGATGGAAGAAATTTGCATGGTGCACGTGCACATGGAATTTGGTGCTAAGTGTGGATAAGGATCCCCAGAAGAGAGGGAATATTCTTTCTTACAAGCATAATGTCCTCAAGTCTTCTTTGTCTTCATCTACTTTTGATAAAGTGAAATCATAGCCACAACACAAAGCAATGCTGGGGCCCGCCACTAAACTTATATAATTTGTACGATTTGATGCGATTTCAATTTTCAAGTTATTTACTCCAAAATAATTGAGCTAACAATAATGATTCAATTGGTAACAATCAATCAATCATTAACCAAATCAAGGACACCAATTTTATTATTCATAATTTTAAAAAATTATTTTCCTCACTCTTCTCCCTATTGATTTTATATTTTCACCAAACACTATTAAAAGCAAAATAGACAAATAAAATGGTAACAGGAAACAATTCATCAAATAGAAAGAAAGATAATGAAAAGAACAATATCCTTTTTCCTTGGGGCAGTGATGTTCTTTTGACATTTCTACATACATTCATAAATGAAAAAGAATAAACAAAATAATCAAAGAACAGAATAAGTTCCTGTTAGAACAATCTTATTGCATCAAATCATTTACAAATGCCAACCTGCATGCAATTAATGGCCGGCAAAGAATTTGGTGTAAGAATATTACATGAAATTGAATGAAAATGTACAAGTTTGTGTTCCTTTTTTTGCTGTCAAGTGTCAATAACACAAGTTCTTTCTACACCATCACAAGTGATAGGACACCTTCAATTCACACATGGTCTTTCAGCCGAGGCTTCTCTGATCTTCAAGGTTGCTGGTGCAGCTTGATGCTTGCCATGTTGCTTGGCTTGGTGCTGAGACCAGTAAGCATGTGCAGCCAAAACCCTGTCCAAGAGCTCCTGAGGTACCGGCTCTCCTCTCCTTTGTTGAGGGGAGATTGTTGCAGTGTGCACTAATGTTTTCCACTTATCCTGTGCATACCAATAAGTCACATGATGTGGCAATTAACCAATGTTAGTAGCAGCATTACAAAGGATGATAAATTGAATCAATGAAGTTGTACAAATATTCTTAAATATTTCTATTTTATAATGCAACCAAAACATCTTAAGCCATCAAGTATAATTGTTGAGCACAATATTAAAGCTATTACCTTTACAAAACCCATTAGAATGATAACCGCAAAACAGAAATGGACTAAATAAACTAAGCATATTATCATAGGTACCAATTGAGAATCTCTTTAGGATCAAAAAGGAACCATGATAACAACAACAATAATCATAAGTAACCCCACAAGTAGTTCAACTCAAATGCCTTTTCAATGAAAAGTAACCCCAAAAATAAAAGGGCACTTTGTGCCTAGAGAGGGATGGAAGGAAATAATGTACCTTCAAGTCTACGTAAGTCCTATGGTCTGCATTCTCAAAAGCTCGCAACTTAACATCACGCCACCTGCACAGTGTAAACATTATGAGCAAGCCAGTTTTGCTGTCATCCTTTGGTAAAGCTGATGATTAACTATAAACATCATACCTTCCAGTTCCTAGCTCCTCAACTGCATGAACAAGTGCTTCTACCTCAGTCACAGAGAATGGTCTCCTAGTTCGACGCTGTACAAACTCAGAGCGCTTGGTTTTCTGACTCGCAGGAACCACAGCTAATGCTTGTGTGTTAGCTGGAACAGCAACTAGCGCTCTGGAATCCGGTGTTACTTTGTCAATTATAGTGTCAGGGGGTGGTGAAGAAGTAGACTCACGGTTACTTTCAATTAGATTGCCTGGATTTGTCAGCAAGGATGAGTCATGCAAGGTATCAGTAATGCCTGAATCTAAGACAGGAGTTTCTGGGGACCTAGAAAAACCAAATAATGATATTAGCTTTAGAGCCAAAATAAAAATTCAACTGAACAGAGATGAATAATAAGCAAATTTCATTTACAACCAGAAAAAATAAAGATATTTATTCTTCCACATAAATTAATCTTGGTCATTTCCCCTTCATACATCAGCTGTGGTGATTAAGGGAAACTGCGTTATCAACTATGGCTCACCTAGTAGGCTGGGATGTTTCACATTGATAAGAAGGATCACCAAAACAAACAGTTGGAGAAGCTAGTAGAGAAGTGGGCTCCAACATGAAACCAAGTGTATCCAAATTTTCTTCGCATGATATTCCAGTCTGCACAAGTGTTCTATTGTCATCTCTAACTTTTTTTCCCTGAACAAGAACACCAACATGCACCCCACCTCCAAGTATAGCCATCACAGCCTCCATGACTGTCCTCTACAAATTTTGATAAAATACACAATGCAAAGGTTATAATTGTTTCAAAAAACGACAGAAATCATGTGGATGAAGCTTTGACAACAGTAATGAAATTTAAAAAAATAAAAACAGAGCTATCTCTATTATACCTTTAGTGAACCAACAGTTTCTGTTTCAGGAACCTCAATATAAAGCTCTGGTATCCTTAATGACTTAATGCTAAACTTCACTGTTCACAAGGTTAAAACAGCACATAAGTTACTATTCAGTGTAATGAATAAAGATATGCAAAATGAATTAATATAAGAGAATTAGTTACCATGAGAATCATTAGGTACATGCAGTTTTGCAGACGAGCTTGGGTTGTCTCCATCCATCCCTTTCTGGGGTGAATTGGATACACTCTCACTACTGAATCCTCCATCAGAAGTTACCCCTGAAGCCCGGTCAAAGAATTTTCTCCTCTTAACAATGGTGTTGTGATGAGATCTTTCAAAACCATAACAAGTCTTCCTCTTATGATAATGAGATGCTCCTAGATCTGCAAATTCAATGTTACTTTCAGTGAAAAACAATCAAACTCAAAGAATAATATGCGTTAGATAATAAAGCATTTGATAGCACATTCATAAGCCACCCTACCTGATCTAGAAAGTTCACACTCCTTCAACTTTGGAGCTACCTTCCAGTATTTGGAAGACATCAGGTTCCTGATTCTTCGGTGTGCAATGCGTCGTGGAGACCTGAAAGCCTTTGACTTGGTGCAAACCTTTTTGCACCTTAAAAATTTTTCGTCATCATCTCTAAAACCTAATTTAGTACCATTCCCATGCTTAGAAAAGTAAGAAGCACTTGGAAATGATTTCCTATGAAATGGAGATTTAACATTACTTTTTGGGTCAATTAGTGCAGGAGATACATACAATTCTAATTGGTCCTTCAAACCACATTTATCAGCCAAAGTTGATCCCTGAAAGCACGAACTGCCAACTTCCTGCTCCCGTCTAAACCCATTCTTTATTTTACCATCAGAAGACTCCCTAAACTTTTTAGGAGCTTCTATAAATCTATTAGAATAATGCCTAAGTTTATCATCCCATTCGAAAATTTCAGTCTTCACATCAGCTTCAACTTTCTCCCAAAAATCAGAATTATTTTTAACTGAAACATGTCCTAGTGAATGATCAGCCTTAACTTGTGGAAGAGGTTTCTGACTACTGTTTTGTGAGGCTATCTCAGTCTTAAAAATACTCTCCGCACAACTTCCCTGATGAATTCCCTCTGTTTTCAATGGTTTAACTTCATCTTGTCTATCTAGTTCAATGGCACCTTGGCTAATGGCAGGGTGATGATTTCCTTCAGATGCATTGCTAGAAGCAGAACTTTCGCTCTCCTGCAGCAACTGGCCAGCCAAAGATGCCAGTAGCTCAAAAGCACAAGCTTGACCATCCACTTCTGTTTTCTTGAAATGACCCCTCCTCTAAACAATTGTCAAACTTAAAAGGATCAAAATAGAGTACAATGTGCGAAAATGGAGTACGTGACACAATTGCAGAAATACTTACTCTAGATCTAGGAGCTTTAGGTATAGCTGGGACTTGAAATCCACTGAATCCATAATCTACCCTTTTCTTCAACACCATAGCTAAAAAATGTACAGCTCATCAAATAACAAGAAGCTTCAATACACCAGATCCTTGTCACTGTCATAATATTGCAGGAAGACATATTTATAGTTAATTTTCACATTTTTGCTACATTTTTGTAAATTAGGAAGCAATGTCACACTACCACTGTAAAGAGAACTTTGCAACTATTTCAAAGCAACAGTTACTGAATAATACTTACATATATAGCCAAATAGTTATTGGCTCCTCACACAATACTGAACCAAGTAATGCAACTTGAATAATCAAAGCTTCAATTAACAAGGAGAATTTCTATATGTATGGATTTATATGACATTAATTTGGCATAGAAAGACGAGCAAAATAAATATGAGAAAAAAATAAAATAAGGAAGCAACAGGTTAGAGAAACCAAATCTTTCACAAAATCCATGTAACTGTTACAGGATTTCAGCCACAAATAAATACATAAGAAATAAATACGGTCAGATTTAAAACAGCCCATTTGACTCACAGGATTCAATTTCATTGAACTCGATGTAACAATAAACTGATAGAAAGTTGACTCCACATCATGACAGTTACAGAAACAGTAAATAAATCACATGAAAGCTGAAGGCTAACATGGATTCAGATGAATTCCATGGAACTGCAAGTAAAAAATTTCCAATTCCACGGTCGATCCATAGATGTCAGCAAATGAAAGAATTGTACATACATAAATCTACGATCCAATTCCAAATCAAAAAGAAAAACACACACACATGAAAGGGTGGAAGGATCATAAAATTCAACATCATCATAAAAGCATAAACAGTTGTTACATGATGCAATCACTCTCTGAGTTCTAATTGTGCGAGATCAACACAAAATAACCAATTTCTAAGCATCTGCAGCACTTTTAACCAAATCATAGAACCTGAACTCAACACAGAACAAGTCCACGACACCTCCAAAAAAAACCATTTTTTTATATTGAAACGAATCAAAAAACCAGTTGCATACAACAAACAAAACCAAACTTCCACGATCGGATCTTCAATTCTCAATTCAATCCCACAATTTTCAACCAAAAAACAGAACCTTCAGAAATCAGAACACAATTGCGTACAAGCTACAACAATTCTGTTCTCTCTGCATCTCCAAAATTCAACGAGAATTATGCAGAGTTAACAAATAGTCTCCGCCACTCAACCATGATGAGATCGCAGCGAGAACCATGAGAATAACCAAAAAAAACCCGTAATTCAAAACCTCTGACATGCAACAAAACCTCAACACAAACTCACCTGTTGAAAAAACATCATTCGAGCAACGATCCGAGGAGCTAAACTACGATCAAGTAACGAAATTTCCAAGGAAATCCATTTTCCGACAGAGAAAAAGAACGACTGTGTAGAAAACAAAACCCCGGAAAACAGTTGGAAATGCAAGAGATCTAAAGGAATTCAGGAACTGAAAACACCAAAGTCCTCAACTTTCTCTGTTTCTCTCTCTTTCAGGAACGTAAAAAATTCATTTTTCTTTTTTTCTTTTTCCTTCCTATTTTTTCTTGTTTTGTGAGATGGAAAACAATAGATAGAATAATAGATAGAAGAGTTTAAAGGGACAAAAACCCACCAATACCGTAAACAAAAACCACGCAACAGTGCCCTTAAACCCCTTATATGAGCATGGTTTTGACCACACAACCGGACCAGCCAGTTAAAAGGGTATATGTTACCTGCTATAGTAGGTCATCCTCCCCCACCACCCAAAAACCCTCTTGAGACCTATTCTAACCCCTTTGGATTGGTAGTGCCACGTGTAAGCTTCACTCTTCCTTGGACAAGGATTAGAACCATTGTGGATTTGGCTTTTCCTATGAGAAGGAACTCCAATGTCTATAATTATTGCTTTCCTTGTTTATCTCTTTTAGTGGTCCATCTTTTTTTTCATTTTTTTTCTTTTAGTTCCTTCCTTTTTCACGTGTTAATGAATTTTTAATTGTAGGGAGAATTATGTAAGTTCAGTTTAGTTATTTTATAGTCATTTTCTTGCCTTTTTTAAGTCCATATTTTATACGTGCAAGGTTATACAAAAAATCATATATCCTTAATAAATATGCAGAGGTTAAATCTCATTAGCTACGTATTTTCTATTTATTATTTCTCTTGTTAGTTATGCATTTTTAATCAATTATAAAAATAATTATTAAAAAATAATTTTAAAACATATAATTAATGAAGTTTAATATAAATTAATAAAAAAATTGATAAGTCTTCTTTTGAGTATATAATATAATAATTTGGTGTTGATAGGTCATCCTCACAAATCTTTTAGTTTTAGATAATAAAGAAAAAAAGCCACGGATGAGTCCATTTTCAATGGTATCTTTCTCATTATATAGAAAAATATAGTCAAGCCAAAAATAAAGAAATTGATTATTTTGGCTGGGGTACAACATTCACTCGTCCTTTTAAACAGATAATATTATAAATGTACACTCAGATAATTACATGAAAATTTAGAAGAATTTCATATTTGAAAACTATATTGAATAATCATTGTTTTCACACGTCAAGGTTTGTTGAAAGTAATAATAAAATTACCAAAAAGGAGAGTATGAGAAGCCCAACATGAAACCATCAAAGAATGTCACGAAAATTTATGTTCACAGAAGTAAAATATTTAATGCTGTAGTTTTTCGAGAAAAAAATTGGCATTGGATCTAATGCTACTTAAACGGTCAAATTAACAACTTTAAACGCTTGTTATAATTTTACTGACTTCTCTGAGATCTACTAATGGTCATTCTTTTTATGCAAATGTAAATGTTTACCACACAAGTTTTAGAGCCTTCAGTCAAAATACGAATTCTCTTAAAATATTATTAATTAATATCTTCAAATTTTAATTAGTGTTTGCATTCATTAATTATGTATTAACGATACATCTTAACGAACTCTGAATTCGTTTTTTTTTTTTATGTAATCATTCTCATAATTTTCAAAATTAATTAACAATGTGGAAATTCAGATAAGACTGATCAAGCTATTCAGATACATTGTTTTAGGCGAAAGCTACTTAGATGCATATTGTTATAAAATTTAGGATATTTAATATGTTCAGTCAAGAAAATTCACTTAATTTAACTGGTTCAAAATTCAAGCGCACAACTTACATTTTACATTAAAATCAAGAAATTGATGCAAATTTTATCTTCAAATTTACCTATACATTGTGGTGATTCATATGATAAATAAATTTTAAATGATTTAGACGGTTTAGCATAAAAAAGAAAAATTGTCAATTACATACATACAAGTTGACGATATTGACAACACACTTCTTTTATATATTAAAAAAATACTGTTAAATAGATTTCATTTATTAAATTTAAAAAGAAAAAAAGCATGGTTGAAAAATTGGGTAGTTTATGTGGTGGGAAAAAAGAGAGAGAAAAAGTGGTTGGCAGTTAATTATCATTCCACAGCATGAAATAGTACAGATAACAGTTTCGTGTCAAAGTATGTTTGCAGTTATTAACATTTTTTTGGTTTATCACTTTATCTTATCTGTGTTGTGACTCATCGATACCACTTTCTTCACCAATTACTATGGGTCCCACTTTTCTTTACTATTATTCGAAACGTGTCTATTCCTCCGTTGCTTTTCGGGTCAAACTTAACAGCCGCCACCGGGTTCGGGTATGGGTCATTGGGTTGTGATTTTTCTTAGTTTTTTCTTGTTCTTGTATCTTTTCTTTCATTTGGTTACCAAATTGCACCACCTTTACCAATGATGTTTAAGAAATCTAAAGGAAGGAACCGGGTTAAGCAAGTTTTCCTTAACTTTGGTCTAATCTCATGTTTCAGAAGCGTACAAGCTACCAATTATATAACACATTTTTTTTCTCTATAATGACAATCCTTTTCATCTTCTTAATTTTGTTTTTCTGATACTTCAATAGTTATACAATCTTCTACAACTCTCCTGTTGAACCATTGACTATTTTTTTTCTCCTTTGGAATAGTTTCAAGTTCCGTATTTTTCAAAAACTGGAAAGATTAGAACTTCAACAGAACACAGTATTAATAGACAAGTGGCGCTGCCAAATTTGATATAAGGGATATTATTCCTTATCCTAACTCTAGAAATGGAAAACACTACAATATTCATTACATGTGACAATATGAGGTATAGGTATTTATAAGTCGGTTAGCCAGTAAAAAGTTACTGCAATATTATATGTAACACTCATTTTCCATCATCATTTTCCATCATCATGTTTTTAGTATAATTTGAAAATGATTGAATCAGCCCCAGAGAATGCATATTGAAGGAAAGAAGAAACATGACTTTGCCAGGTGGAAAAGAAACTTGAATTAATGTTAAAAGTAGAGGTAGGACACTGTTTAATTTGAGATTTTTTTTTTTGTATTTTACAAAGTAATTTTGGTTTTAAATATAAGTTAATTATATGAATCATTTAAAATAAACTCTAATTTTATAAGGAAAAAGAATGAAATAACAAACCAGTCTAAATAACTAAACGCTTGGATAGAGTTTAATTGGGCTAACTTTTAAGTTAAATATACTATCTTTGTTAACATTCCTCTTAATGTGTAACAAATTATACACTTGAATCATATTAACATAATAATAATAATAATAAAGTCAAATTAACATAAATTGACACTATAATCTTCCTGAATTGTTTATGAGAATGCCTTTATAGTATATTAAAAACTATAATTATGGGCTAACATTTAACTCGTAACTAACTTGACCATTTAGTTTATACTAATCTTACATAACGATGAAAATAAGTCAAAATGCTGATTAAAGTCCTATGGTGCCTGCTTAGCTTAGAATAACCTAATTAAAGTAACGGCATATTCATTAAATATATAGATTAGACCAAAATTTTTAAAAAAATTATCCTAGTTAAAGTCAAACTTTGAACTATTTAAAAAATCTATTAAATATATTACCTCTTTTTATTTAAATAAGTAATAACAAGAAGAAGAAGACTATATCTGTAAGGCTATAATACTATTATTTTATTAAATTTTCAATATAACACTTTAATATCATATATTTAACATGTAAAGTTAAGTTTATTTTCACCCCTCATCCTACAAAAATTCCCACAAGAATATCGTGATTAAATATTGAAAGAATATGTAGTAAGAGAAGCAAGAATAGATCTGAGTTTATATTAATTACTTTAGGACCATAAAGGCATCTCCAAATCCTCCATGAGTGCATTATATTTACTATCCTTTTATTTAATCAGGCCTTAATTAAGGAACAAGAAGTCACCAGCATACACCAAACGAGAGAGGACCAAAAAGGTACTCCCTAGTAATAAATTTGTCACGTGCAATTTTGAACCTAACATAAGCAAATTGTTAGAGTTGTGGACTTAATCTTATGGGAGTTTTAATTTTTTTGATTGACGAAGACTAAAGAATTTAAAATTAATTTCCATATTAACGCGTTAAATGCATGTGCTGATTCCATATTCCAGATCTCATACCAAACCCATTGAATAATTAAGAAAAAATATCTACCATAGGATGAAATGATTCTTACGTTACCTTCAATTCATTGACATTAAATTAACACGTACACTTAGTTAAACAAGGTCAATTTCAGTTGCTGGATGTTTGCATGGTTGCGCTGTTGAGCTTGACTTGACTCTACAATTCCATGTCAAAGTAAGCCTCTCTATAATTGTCAAAAGGTTTCAGATAAATGGCATATTTAAATTTTTTTTTTAAAAAGGTGGTACGTTCAAATATATCATGACTAAAATCAAATCATTTAAACATTATTTCAATAATGAATAGAATAACATCGATTTGTGTTATTGAAATTAACTATGTGAAGCAAAATAGCTAATCAATTCAAAATCACATAATGGCTAAGCCAAAACACTAGGACAAATCGAATTTAACCTTAAATTTAGGACGAATCAACCTCTTTGTCATATAAATCAACATTTATTTCTGAAGTGATTGCGAGTTACTTAACCATATATAACTTGGATGATCTGTTTCAATAAAATATAGTCGGTGAAAAAGCTGGTTTCCTTGTACTACAAAAATAGAAGTTGGTTATGTTACTTCTTTTCTGAAAGCGGTAGCTGAAAGTTGAAGAAAGGTATCTATCGTCAAGATTGAAACTTTTCTCAATTGAATTTATTTGGTAGATTCGACGATGAGGACTAGGATCGATATATGTACAAAAAGTTTTGTCTACGAAGCCTTTTTATTTGTTGGGCACCGAAGCAAAGAACAAAATTACAAACTAGACAGGGCATCATTTCGTCCATCCATATGACAAATTATGGGATCCTCAATTCAATTGTGGATCTATAATTACTTTTTTCTATAACTTTCTTCCCCATAATTAATTATGTTTAGGCTTTGCTTGCTTTGTCTGTCTTCATAATCGATTTCTAGTTTGAAATACATGGTCACGGTTTCTTAAGCACAAACTCAAAGGTACGTTGAATGATTTTGTTGAAAATACAAAGAGGCTCGTACGTATTTATAACAGCAGGAGAATAGGATACTGTATATTATGATATTCTTTT